GCCCCGGGGCCGCCCCTCCGCTCGCTGTTAGCGCCGCCGCCGGCCATGTGCATCCTCCCTCGGGCCTCTACCGGCGCTCGCTTCCTCCTCAGGCCCGGTGCTCGCCACAAGCCCAAGTTCCGTATCCCCTTTCTCTCTTCTGTGCCGCTCACAGCAAGGCTCGTGGAGACCTCGCGCTTTGCCCGCAGCTGGGGGTGGGGGAACCTGCTGCTCCCTGCTCGCTGTCACCAGCCTGGTTCGCAGGCAGGCCCGCCCGAGGCGTTGCTTCCTTCCCCCTCTGCAGATGTGAAATCGCTTAGGCCAGCCAGGATGAAGCTCACCACAGTGTACTCGCCGCTATCGCTTCATTACTCGTCGCAACCCCCGTGACGGCCAGCCCTTTAGCCACTGCATGGCGTAGGAAAAGCTAGTACACAAAAGCAATCCGGGGCTTCTGCACTCATTACCATGCTCCTCGGTGGTATGATCTCTGTCGAGACCACTGCAGAAAACTCCCACTTTTTTAAGACCTGGGGGCATTCACACTGAGTGAGTTGTGAAGATCTGTCTGATTAATTAGGAGGAGGCCTCCCTCCCTACCCCCAAAGCGGTCTTTTTCATTCCAGCCTTGGGCTCCTAATTTGCTATCAGTCTGTATCGCCCTTATCAGGAAATTACTATACAGGTTTATCACCTCCTTGAGTTTGTACTTTCTTCAGTACTCTGCTCGGACTCAGTGTATGGGTTGCGTTATTGATTAAAAGAGAAAGCCTGGCCCTTCATTTCTTGAGCTCACTAACTCGTTGAAAATTAACAGGGGAGGCCTAAAGACGTTTTGTACCCTAGCAGTGAACTATTTTACTTAACTGTAATTGATAAGGTAGTCTCATTCTAGTTGAAACGAATAAGCATTCTTTGACCATTTAGAGTCGTCCTAAATAGCAAAGAAAGCCCTAGCAAAGAAATAGAGGACCAGAGCAGGAAACTGCATTAGAAGATATATAGGTCAAGCCACAATGTCATATCTTCATGCTGCCCTTCTGCCCAACTGCACTGGTAAAATTGGCAAACCCCCTCTAGGTTATTTTTGGTTAAGATGAACGTAACAATATGCAGTTTATTGTCCCAAATGCATTAGAAAGTGATGCCAGTAAAACAAATACTGTTCTGAGTCAGTTACATAAACTCTTGAGTTTACAGAGCTATTTTCTTTTTTTCTAACTCCTGCAAAATCCTCAAATCTACCTGTTAAACAAGTTATATGAGTTTGTATTACCTAATTAGGTTGCATGGACATTCCTCTGAATTTCTTTTTGACGTGGAAGATTGGGAAATTTTTCACTGCCCAAAAAAAAAAAGTTTGTTTTTTGTTTTTTGTTTCACCAAGAAAGGGAAATGTTTGATATTGTATACTTTCATTCTTGGCCACAGCTGGATTTTGAAGATTGATCCAGGGGACTGTATTAATTTCATGAATTGATTTGAAAGACACTGGTTCTGCCACTTAACAGCCATGTAACCTTGGGTAAGTCACTTAAACTGCACTTAGTGTTAATGTATTTATAGAATTCTGTAACACTCACCTAGGCTGTCCTAAAGAATTATGAAGCTCAAATACACTAACGTATTTCATACAGCAGAGCTGTGAGGGGCTGTTACTCTTCAATATCAATACTTTATACATTGTTCTCACTGAAAATTAAGAGGAAAATTTATGTGATAGAGAAAGCACAGTTTTTAGACTCAGGCTTGGATTCCACTTCTTAAACCAGTTACTGCTTTACATTTGTGAGTCTCAAGTTCCTTATATGCACAAAAGAGGCTACTATTGCTAGGAATTACATGATATTTACACGAAATCTACACAGGCACTACTCTCTGAACTTACAGCTCAAGGACAAGGATTTCCTTAGTTCATTTTTGTAGTCTCCAGCACTGTGCTTGGCATATTATAGGTGCTCACTAAATGATAGTAAATCTGAATATTGGTTAATGTTAGTTAGACCTTATGTCTTAATTGTAGCTGCCAAATCAGAATACACTCTTAGGCTAGGAGCCAGCTAAGAAATTCTAGACTCTGAAATTCATATACTTGAGATATTTATACTCAGGTTTTTCTTAGTGGTAATAATTACATTGAGCTAAGTAGATTTTAAATCAAATAAATTATAGCTGACATTAGTAAGGTAAATCTATAAATAATGTGTAACTAGTTTCCAGATAATTTCTTATAGATAAAATTCAGGGACCCGAAAATTCATCCAGCTCTACCTTCTTGTTTTACATCTGAGAAAATAAAATCCACAGAGAGAGTGACTTGCCTAAGGTCACACAGCTGACTGAGGGTACTTTAATGGAGGAACTCATGAGCTTATGTTCTGTGCCTTTTTGGCTAGAGCAAAATAAATGTTTTGTGTTTTACAATTTTGATAATCTAGAATGAGGAATCAGTTGGTCATTATTTCTTGGGACAGTTTTTGGTTGGTTGCTTTTCCTACTTGGAAAAGAAGAAATTTTTAGTCTAAAGGAGAGGATTCTTTATATCATATTGTACTTTTTTTTTTTTGAATAGACAGAAAATTAACAGTCTTTTCTCCAGGCCCAAATGAATTTGTTCAACTGGATTTATTTATGATAACCATACTGCTGTATTTAAAAGGAACCAACTAGATATATAAATAGACCAAATAGCAAATTATAAGGAAATAAACAGAACTGAAATAATTGGCTCTAAATTTTCCTTGGATAAGACATTAATTATAAGGTTTTGCTATGGAATATTGTTGTCAAGGAAAGATTTGAGAGACTGAGTGTTTCAGAACTTTTCTGGTTTGGGATATGAGTTTTATTTATTTATTTATAACAAGTTGGTATATTTAATCTAATCTTGTAATGTCTAAAGATTCCAAACAAAAAAATGTCCTATTTTGCTAATGCCTTTAGTCTTCTTCTAGTGAACCTTCCTATTCAGCCATACTGATCTTTTCACAGATCCCCAGATAGCATGCTTATTCTTACTTCTACAAATACAATGCCATGGCTGCCTTCCTTATCAGTCTTACCCTGTAGCAACACTATTAGAAGGAAGTGTATGGCATGCTCAAATTAGGGTAATTGAAGATAAGTATAGTAATAACAGTGTTGGGCTTATTTCCATAGGGATAATGCAGTTAACTGGAGTCAGCAGCATCAGAAAAAGTGAGAGGTACCAGAAGTAGGAGTCTTGTAGAACAGAATACCTGGAGAGAACTGGCCTTCTGTGGAAGAAAATAGTCTAAGTATACCTAAAGTTAGGGAACCAGGACAAAGAATACACCGATCTTACTCTGCTGCCTCCCTCTGTTCTGTCGTGGCTCTCCATTGGCAGAACTCAGCCAGAAATTGGAGGACAGAGAAGCTTAATGACTTAATCCTCTCTGGAACAGAGAGCAGAATAGAGAGGATACAGGAAACCTAGAGGACAGATCACGACATCTGGCATTCTGCTCATCCTTTGGTACCCAGTGAACATCTTACCTCTTTTTTTTGAAGAGGTTTTTTTGCTATAGGGCGAGTGCGCTCGCCAGACAGAGAGAGACAGAGAGACAGGAAGCGAGAAATCACCCCCCAGGGGAGATGGCCACACTGCAATCCCTTCTCCTCCATTCTCCTCTCAGGATCTTGGGCACATGCGCACACGCGCCCAGCATGAGTTTTAAGCTGCCGGGTCTGGGACGCAAACCACAGTCGACTACATGGGAGTCCAGCGACATAGCCATTATAGTACTGCTGGTCCCCATCTTACCTCTTTAAGAAGCCTTTGGTTCCCTTTGTAGACCAAAGGAATTGTTCACTCTTAGGATTTTTTTCATTGACTTTTGCCTTCTGATTGTTTCACCTTGAATACTATTACATCGTTAAAAACTGTTAGTTAATTCCTTTTTTATTTTTTTTTTTAAGAGAGATTTTTGCTATAGGGCACGTGCACTGACTGGAGAGACAGAAAGACAGAAAACAATAAATCACCCCCCCAGGAGAGATGGCCACACTGCAGTCCCTTCTCCATTCTCCTCTCGGGATCTTGGGTACGCACATACACACACTGGTCTGAGTTTTAAGCCACCAGGTCTAAGACTGTGGTTGACTAATAAGTGAGAATCCAGCAACATAACCATTATGCCATCTGCTGGTCCCAATTCTTTTTAGTTTCTAAATGTTTGTCTTATCCACTCTACTTGGTTTTAAAAGTACTGTGAATTTAAATTTTTTTCATTTTTCCTGAGAATTTGCTTTGTGCCTTATGCATAATTTTTTTGTAAATTTAATAATGAAAAAGTTTAAACATTTACATAAGTAGAAAGAATAGTATAATGGAACTTATACTCATAACCACTCCATTTTAATTACAGAAATTGTTATCCTTACTTTATCTCCACCTTCTGTACTAAGCCCCTTACCACCATCATGGGTTTTTTTTGGTTTTTTTTTTGGTTTTTTTGCCAGAGGGTACATGCACTAGCTAAAGAAAGAGAAAGAGAGGGGGGAAGCAGCCCACAGAGGATGGTCAAGCTACAATTCCTTCTCCTCCATTTCTCCTTCCTTTCAGGAATTTGGGTGCACACACACACATGTGCCTGGTGTATTTTCTGCTGGGTCCAGAACTCAGACTGCACAACTGGCCATTTGGGATCTAGCTGCCTCTACCACCATGCTATGTGCTGGCCCCACTATAGTAATTTTTTAAAGCTGTGTTTATGTTGATCTCTTAGAGGGCAAGGACAGTGTGCAGATTATCATAAACTGTGTTGTAATCTTTGAGCCATTGGAATTGTATTTGTGTTCCTTATTTTCATCTTTTTTATTAAGTTTTACTTCATTTGACATAGAATCCCATACATACCCACACACATGCACAGACATCCTTATCTTAACAATGGTTTGACATAATTTTCCACAGTGCGCAGGATAGGCATTCAGTAGAAACAAATGTCTCCTACCTGTATAGCCATTCTGTTTCTCACATTCATACAGTTTTCCATAAACTACATGAGATACTCAATATTTTATTATGATATAAGTTTTGTGTTATGATTTTGCCCAACGATAGACTAATGTAAGTGTTCTAAGCATGATTAATGTAAGCTAGGCAAAGTTGTGATGTGTAATAGTTTAGGTATACATGGGGACTTCACTAAGTCCATGGAAAAAAGTGAATTAAAGTATAAGTTTACTTTGGTGCAAAAAAATTTAGTGATCTAAGTAAAATTGGTGAAAATAAGATTTAACCTGCATGTTGGTTTTGCATGTGGACCCAGATTCCTGTTTCAGGTGTTTCTTGGTATATTTTATGTTGTCATATCTGTTTTATAGCTGCCATTACTGTACTTATCCCCAAATGTATGCAGTCTCTAAAATGAGATACTTACATAAATGTTCAGGGAAAATTGGAGCATCTGCTGCAAATTTCCATTAGCTCTTAATGCCTGAACAGACACAGCTTTAAAAATCTGAATGTTTTGTCAGATTCTTTTGTGTTAGTCTTTTTTCTTTAAAAAAAAAGATGAACTCCTCCTCTTCTTAATTTCACTTTCTTTTTTTTAAGGTATGCACTGAAATATCCACAGGAAGCAATTTGCACTGCTCTTTCTCCCTCCTATTGCATCATCAAATAGGAGAGAGATAATGCGAATCACCTTTGTAACCCTGTGGGTGTTTAAAGTCTATTGAACAAACATTCACTTGTTAACCTCCAGTTTATCAATCAGCCTACATGGCTATTAACATTTCTTGTGGTAAAACTTAGATCTAGAGTAAAGAACCATATAAGAAATTTAATATTCAGGGATTCCTATTTCTAAACTTATTATTTAACTAATTTGCATTTAACAGTTGAATCAAAAGAGGGAAAGTCTGAATCTAACATCCCTAAAGGGAAATCAGTAGTTGTACAAAGAGCCACAGCTCCCCTTGGCCTAAAAATGTGGAATTCCAAGGCAATAAAATAACTTAGGAAGCCACTGAAGGGTTTTTTCTGAAGAAAATGATTAGTCGTCCTTTGTCTTCTCTTTAGTGACTTAAATGTGGTAATTTGTTGAATCGTCAGGAAAGTCATGACACATTTTTGCATCGAAAAATACATCATGGCTTTCTCCATGACCTAATGAAAAAGACTTGCCTTTTCCACCTGAAAAGGATGAAAAGCACTACTAATATTTCGAGAGATTGTTTAGGGAAGAGAGTAGCTGAAGGATCAATGGCCTTCTGGAGCTGGGATATCTGTCATTGTTGTGAGGGCTGTGGACTGTGTTCCCTGCCATGAGCTCAGTGAGAGACAGCCTGTAGAAAAGAGAAAATAGCCCATCCCATAGGTCAAAGTACTAGAAGGGCGGGAAAAAGTGATACTAAAGAAGGCAAGAGTAAAATATTTGCATTATTGCCTGATAAGGACCTAGATATAGAGTTGGTGTGTAGGAGGAGTAGAAAATAAGAGGAAAAGAGCTAACAGTTGCCAGAAATTGATATGGGTGAACTGGTTGCAAAGCTGGGGTCTGGCAGGACAGTTTAGGTATAGTCTTAGTATGGCCAGAGGCTCTTAAACATTGATTCAGGCATGTGAGGAAGAAGAGTCATGATTCATCATCTAAAATAAGAATTCAGAACCTGTGACTGAAGTTTAAGAATAGTATGGTCTTTGGTCTGTAGCTAGTGCCACTAACATTTTTGCTGGCATTTATTGAATGTTGTGAGTAAGATTCCAGAATGCACCTAAAATGTGGAAAAACAAAACTTGTGGCTGGAAAAAAGCCTAAATTTAAAAATGTGATCCAAGTCAACAAATTAAATCTTACTTTAAGCCAAAGGAGATGTTTAAAATGAGAGTATTGCCAGGATATATAAAGAGTGTGCAAGACTAAGGCAGAAAGATTTATGAGTATTTTATGTTTTGTGATTTCCTTGGCATAATGCATTATTAGAACCTACAGGTAACCTCTTTTAAGGACTCTATTAATTTCTGGACCTGAAACATAACTGAGATTTGAATTTTTCCTTGCTCTGATGCCCCACTGCCTTTCAGGGGAGGGAAGAAAAAAACATAGCTGTGGGTATAAATTACAGTTGACCACTGATATGACCTCTAGGAAAAAAACCACAGCATAGTTTGTGGTTTATCTTCAGGAAGACAAAGGAAGTAAAACAAGGAACTGAATCATTACTCTTATTCAGTTTTCACTTGCATAGTACTTCCCAAAATTCAGTATGCAATAGGTTATATAACTATGTTGTCACAATTACAAAGATTTGGGGGGGGAAACAACAGAAATTATGATTTTGGTAATAAAACTACAGTTAAATTTGGAATAACAAATAGTTTCTTAAGAATTGTATCAATTATATTAACTTCACAAGTTCTCCAGTGATCTAGAGGCTAGAATTTGGTGCTTTCCTATTGGCTTTATAAAACAATGCTTCACAGTGACTTAAGGCGGTTCCACAAACCCTAAAAATGGCTGTGTTCCTTTAATCAAGTAATATGAATCCTCATGGGTCAAACTAGATGTCCAAGGCAAAGAAAGTAAAGAAAAAAGGAAATAAAGATTGTTAAAATAATTTCCAGAGAAACAGTGACAGATGGAAAGATCTCTCCTGTAAGTCGTGATGGAGATTGCATGCCAAAAAGAAATTTTAAACAATTTAAGCGTACATTGGGGGTAGCCAGGTACATCGATATGAAACTCCCAGCTTAGAAAGTACTTAGATTAGCTTGGACACTAAAATTGGCATATATTTCCTGAAATACATACCTCTAGTTACCCTGTAACCTGGCATTTCTTTCTCTTGTGTGTTTTTCGTTTTAGATATGGAAGAAAGCAGCAGTGTTGCCATGTTGGTGCCAGATATTGGGGAACAGGACACTATATTGACTGCTGAACGTGTCATCAGTCCTTCATTGGAAGTTGATGAACAAAGAAAAGCTAAAACAGATCCACTAATCCATGTTATCCAGAAGTTAAGCAAGATAGTGGAACATGAAAAGTCACAAAAATGTCTTTTAATTGGGAAAAAACGCTCACGTTCAAGTGCATCAACACGCTCTCTTGAAACACAAGAACTCTGTGAAATTCCAGCTAAACTAACCCAGTCACCTGCTGCTGATATTAGAAGGGCTGAGATGTCACAAATGAATTTTACTCCTGACACTCTTGCCCAGAATGATGGGAAGGCTATGTCTTATCAGTGTAGCCTTTGTAAGTTTCTTTCGTCATCTTTTTCTGTGTTAAAAGATCATATCAAGCAACACGGTCAGCAGAATGAAGTGATACTAATGTGCTCCGAGTGCCATATTACATCTAAAAGCCAAGAGGAACTTGAAGCTCATGTGGTAAATGACCACGAAACTGATGCCAACACTCACCCCCAGTCCAAAGCCCAACAGTGCATAAGTCCATCCAACTCCTTATGTCAGAGAGCCACAGAAAGAAATAATGAAAGCATTCCTGACATCCCAGTAAAAGTAGACAATCCACAAACTCATACTGTCCAAACTGCATCCATGGCAGAAATGGGAAGAAGGAAATGGTATGCCTATGAACAATATGGCATGTATAGATGCTTGTTTTGTAGTTATACTTGTGGCCAGCAGAGAATGTTGAAAACACATGCTTGGAAACATGCAGGAGAGGTTGATTGCTCTTATCCAATCTTTGAAAATGAAAATGAACCCCTAGGCTTGCTGGATTCACCAGTAGCTTCTGCACCTGGTGGGGTTGATGCAGTGGTCATTGCTATTGGAGACAGTGAACTGAGTATCCACAATGGGCCGTCAGTACAAGTGCAGATATGCAGCTCAGAATCATTATCCTCTTCATCTCCTTTAGAACAGAGTGCGGAAGAGGGCGTACACCTAAGTCAGTCAGTTACCCTTGACCCTAATGAAGAAGAAATGCTAGAGGTGATTTCTGATGCAGAGGAGAATCTGATTGCTGATAGCCTACTTTCATCGGCACAGAAAATCATTAGTAGTAGCCCAAATAAAAAAGGTCACGTTAATGTGATAGTGGAGCGTTTGCCAAATGCTGAAGAGACTCTCACACAGAAACGTTTCCTCATGAATGCCGAAATTGAAGAGGGGAAAAACCTGAGCCCGACAGAAGCCCAGATAGGGTGCAAAGGAACGGATGATGTTTATCACACTGATAAATGTACTGTTGATATTGGGGGATTGATCATAGGGTGGAGCAATCCAGAAAAGAAAGACAATGAGTTAATAAATAAAGGCCTCACTACTGATGAGAATGCCCCACCAGGCCGAAGAAGGACAAATTCTGAGTCTCTTAGACTACACTCGCTAGCTGCAGAAGCTCTTGTCACAATGCCTATAAGAGCTGCAGAACTGACAAGAGCCAACCTTGGGCATTATGGGGATATAAACCTTTTAGATCCAGATACTGGACAAAGGCAAGTAGATAGTACGTTGGCAGCGTATTCAAAAATGATGTCACCACTTAAAAACTCTTCAGATGGCCTAAATAATTTTAACCAAAGCAACTCTACCTTGGTAGCACTCCCAGAGGGTAGGCAGGAATTGTCAGATGGGCAAGTTAAGACAGGCATCAGCATGTCCTTACTCACTGTAATTGAAAAATTGAGAGAGAGGACAGACCAAAACGCTTCAGATGATGACATATTGAAAGAGTTGCAGGACAATGCCCAGTGCCAACCGAACAGTGATACTAGCTTGTTAGGAAACAATGTGGTGGAATATATCCCTAATGCTGAACGACCCTACCGTTGCCGCCTGTGTCACTACACAAGCGGTAACAAGGGCTACATCAAACAGCACTTGCGAGTCCATCGGCAGAGACAGCCATATCAGTGTCCTATCTGTGAACACATAGCTGACAACAGCAAAGACTTGGAGAGCCACATGATCAACCACTGTAAAACGAGAATATACCAGTGTAAGCAGTGTGAAGAATCTTTTCACTATAAGGTAAGCATTGATTAATGAAATCATTCAGAGGACCTCAGAATTTCAGAGCAGGGAGGGGACTTTGTAGATCTAACCCAATCACCTCATTTTATAGATAAAACTGTGTCCCAGAAAATTTGGATAATTTGCCCGGTGTTTCCAACTAATTTGAATTTTAGCCCCAACTAAGTTGGGTCCGAAATCTAGGCCTTTACAATTTTTCCTTAAGGATTCTTTCCCCTGCCTTCTACATCTGTATATATTAGTGTTATAATAAGTATATCTATTTCAAAACTGTCGATTTTTTTTTTTTTTTGGAGAGGTTTTTTCTATAGGGCACGTGCGCTCTCCAGACAGACAGAGAGAGACAAAGAGACAGAAAGCTAGAAATCACCCC